TCCGGAATGTATACTTGGAGTACACTGACCGCCTTCAGATGTTAGGGGTTGAATTTTCTCCAAGCTTAAACTATGGGCAGTTCGTTGAGTCCAGAGCCAAAGCAGCCGCAAGGATACTTGATGTCCTTGCAAGGGTGCGGCGGTACTTCACGCCGGGGCAGCTTATATAAAGCGCAAGTCCGGTCATGCATGAAGTACTGCTGTCACATATGGGCTGGTGCTGCAAAATGCCACGTAGCAGCGTTGGACTCAGTGGAGAGACGTGCTAAGAGGCTCATTGGTGACCTTGATTTGGTTAAAACTAATCTTGTTAGCCCCGAGCATAGGCGCAGCGCTCACCGAAATGCATCCGGTATTCTATAGGATACATTTCGGTGAGTGTGTGCAGGAATTACACGCTTTAATTCCTCCCTGTCCTTTCCACCATCGGACAACCAGGCAGTCGGCGGGTCTTCATCCCTCTGTTCTCGATGTTTCGCGCGTTAGAAACAAACGGTTTGCTTCGTATTTTGTAATGCGTACAGCAAAGGAGTGGAATAATTTGACGGCGTCTATCTTTCCGTCCAAATACAATCTGGGTGTCTTCAAGGCAAGAGTGAATAGGCTTTTGTTACGCTAAGACAGTGCGATTTACCATCTAAGGCTGCATCACCACTTACCACCAGGTGGGATTGTGGTCAAGCACTGGCTTATAATAAGTAAAAAAACGTGACTACCGTCGCCCATGAACAACTGCAACACCGGGGGAATTGCAGGTGCGTTACCGACCTTTTAGTAAGGAGTAAGCTCTTTTCTTGAAGGTCCCTAAGTCGTATAACTCCGGAAAAATCGTCGGTGGTAAAGTATTCCACAAATAGGTCGCGGAAGAAGACTCCTAGTGAAGCGTATAGTGGTGGACCGCCTAGCATCCAGAATTCCAGGTGGTATGGATGATCGGGAGATTTGCCGCGATGTGCGTTCGTGAAATTTGGCAGCTGGGATTAATCCGAACTATTCCTGAGAGCACTCCCCGAGTAGATGCGAAAAAAATGCAAAGGGATGCAACATCTCCTCGCAGCGCCAGTGAATCGGGCCGATCGGAAAGGACTCGACTGTCGACGATTCGAGCCGCTCTGCGTTGAATGCGATCAAGTGGAAGGAACTGGCACTGGGGAGCCCGAGCCCAGAGATGGAAACAGTATTCCATGTGAGGCCGAACCTGTGCCTTGTAAAGTTGCAGGCGGTGTACCGGCATGAAATATTGTCCCGCTCTGCTGAGCACGCCAAGCTTTTTAGAGGCCAATTTGGCCCTCTCTTCCAAATGACCACAAAATTGCTGCCACTGGGCATGATACGACATGAGCTGGCAATGGACAGCCCTAGTTCATAGATGGGAACACTATTCCATATGAGGCCGAACTTGCGCCTTGTAGAGTTGCAGTGGGTGTGCCGGCATGAAATACTGTCCCGCTCTATTGAGAACGCCAAGCTTTCTGGAGGCCAATTTGGCCCTCTCTTCCAAGATACCACGAAACTGCAAGTCAATCGATATGTCGACATCAAGGATTACGATACTGGCTGAGGCTACAAGGGGATTGCCCTGAAACTAAGGAAATACGACAAAGGGGTTCTTTTTAGCGGTAAACGTGCAAAGTTTGGTCTTCCGGGGATTGAAGTGGACTAAATTTAATCGTCCCCAATCCGAGACTTTGTTCAACAAAGTCTCGACTTCACACACAACTTTATTCCGGTACTCGGCGACTTATTTTATAGAAATATTGGCACGGCCGGTGTATAAAGCATCACCAGTGTTATCATCTTCATAGCGATGAATGTTACCGGTTTGCAATATATCATTGACATGCAGAAGAAACAGTGTTGGTGATAGCGCACACAGCCTTGTGGAACACCAGTATTAATAGGCTTGTAATCGGAGCATGCACCGTCTACAACGACCTTGGTGCTCCGATCCGCAAAAAAGCTCGTGATCTAATTGCACAATTTCTCAGGAAGCCCATAGTTCGTTGGCATGGGCCAGTGAGTCGTCCTCCCTGTGTAGAGATGGAAGAGATGGCTGTCAGAATTTCCCTTGGACAGCCTTGGAGAGAGACTTTCTTGACAATTCTGCTTGAAAAACCTGGAGACGGAATTATACCTCTTTTTAAGGGCGCTGGTGCTTTCAATATTTCATTCGAAGAGAGTCATTTACTGCACGCCTCTCCACCTCTTATTGAGGACTAAGGTAATATGGTCACCTTAAGCTTTGCTGCCCTATAAAACCAAAACTAGGAGAAGGACAGAGACAAATACACAATGTCGTATACTATAACTAATTTTAAATAAGTAACTATGAAGTAAAACAGATTACCTTGTAGCACTTTTTATTCACCTTATAACGAATCACAATAATTATATTATACTTAATGTAGATGAAAACAACTACTAGCAGAGCGACTTGCTTGCACACGACCGAAGTGAACTGAACTGAACTAAGATACCTCTGGCAATTTAATTTATAGTGTACAGCGCTGTTACAGCTACCCACTAATCTTATTATTTTTACCTATGTTACTCTATGGTTTTATAATTTATTAAATCTGAAACATATCTATATTTAATAATCATTTATGTTTAATAATTTATTATATAGGTGTCGATGATTTCAAATCCACTCGTAACATTCGGCCATCCTGAGTCGTACGCGTCCCGCGGCGCTCATTATATTCACCATTTTGCCTCTGAAAGGAGAAAAGAAAATTGAGCAGTAAATTGTGCCATTTCCAAAAAGAAATCCTGTAGATGAGATTTATTTTGTTTTATTACAATTTGTTTTATAAAGGTTTATACTATTAATATACCTAGTTGTTTACCTAATAGTTCTTGTACGTTGGCCATCTGGGGCTGGTTAACTTAGCCATCCTAGTGTTTCAACAATTCTGGGTTTATTAATTTAGCTGTCCTTGTATTATACCAATTATGGACTTGGTCACTTAGCTGTCCGGGACCTAAAACTCTATTATGGACTTGGTCACTTAGCTGTCCCCTTGTTTTAACTATTATGGACTTGTTCACTTAGCTATCCCTTATTTTAATTGTTATGGACTTGTTCACATAGCTGTCCCTCACTTTTAACTATTATGGATTTGTTCACTTAGCTATCCCTTGTTTTAATTGTTATGGACTTGTTCACATAGCTGTCCCTCACTTAACTATTATAGACTTGTTCACCTAGCTGTCCCTCTTTTAATTGTTATGGACTTGTTCACATAGCTGTCCCACACTTTTAACTATTATGGACTTGTTCACCTAGCTGTCCCTTCTTCTATTTGTTATGGACTTGTTCACATAGCTGTCCTATTATTTTAATTATTGTTAGACTTAGCTATATCTGTACTTTAGCTGCTTTGTAAATATTTATTTAGAGTTATTATATCAAATTAAACCAACAGACTTAAACAATATGTTTTATTTAAAACAATATTTTAGTTGACAACTTTATAACAAAACAATTTATAACAACTCAATTTTAAATAGTAAGGCAAAAATTATTAAGAAATAATAAATGGTTTCTTTTAATATTATTCTAGAAATTAATTAGATACACGCATTTCCAACAAAGGCAGTAGACATGCTTAACTTTCTAAGAGGTCTATCAGATCATTCCTGTCTACTTCACGGTCGCTAGATGAACTGTCATCATCTGATAGTGTTGATTTATATGGTCGTAGACTCTCACCGCTGACTACGGCACTGAACCTTCTATAACCTTTCATACCCATAATACTACTTATTTTATAACGATCGAGTGATTGCTTTTATATGATCGAGTGATTGAGTGATAGGGCCGACCCTACACACTTTATATGGACCTGTGTATGAACTATTAAGCTTTTTGGTGACTTTAGCAGTTGTATCTCTAGACACACCCCCTTTCCATAAAACCAAATCTCCTATTTTATACTTTCGGCATTTTTTGTGCTTACGATCAAATCTACTTTTTATTAAGGTCATATTCCTGTCAATGCGAAATTTAGCATCTTTTCTTCTAGTTTGTAAGTTTTGTTGTTGAGAATCATAATCTTGGGGAAATTCTTTAGGAAAACATGGGAAACGTGAATTGTCGTGGCCAAACATTAAACTAAAAGGTGTATGTCCCGTAGTAGAATTAGGGGTATTATTAATTCCCCAGACTACATCTGACAATTTGTTATCCCATGTACATTCACTGTCAGAAATTGTATTTAAGCCATTTAGTAAAGTACGGTTTACACGCTCCACTTGACCATTGGAACGAGGGCATGCTATAGCATTTAAAATGTGTTTAAATTGTAACTCAATGGAGAAAAGTTTAAAATAGCGGCTAGTAAATGCCTTGCCTCTATCTGTAATAATTCTTTTTGGATTACCGAATTGGGACAGTATGTCTTTCAGCAGCCTTATGGTCTCTATGGAGCTGCAGTTCTTAGCTGCCCTTGCGAAAACAAACTTGGTAAATGCATCAATAACGACAAGAATATAAGTATTACCTTTACGAGTTTTTATGAAAGGACCCAGATGATCTGCGTGTATGGTATGCATGGGACAAGCTGCTTTGTCTATCGGGTGTAGTTCACCCTCTAGTTTGCCATGGTTGCCCTTACCGAAGGCGCATTGTAAGCAAGCGTTGATGTACTTACGTATGAACCGTGTCATGCCCGGAAACCAAAATTGTGCTTTGATGGTCTTCTCGCATTTTTCGAAACCCGGATGCCCTATCTGATCGTGAAGTTTTTGCAACAACCCATATTTGGCCAATTTAGGAATAACAAATCTCTCTCCACCAATAGTTTTTCTAAATAGCAGGTTATCTTTAACTACATAGTTAGCTATTAAGTCTGGATTAATGCTTTGTTCGCGGAATTGTGCGAGAATATTTTGAATACCTTCATCTTGCATTTGCAGTGTTTTTAACCAATCATCGTTATCTATCATGAGAACAAAATTCGAGGATGAGGAACCCATCCTCGAATTTTGTTAGGGCATTAACTCAGGGCATCAACATGCTTCATACGTTCGCCTGGCCGGTACTCTATTTCTAGGTCAAAGTCTTGGATAGTTAGCCACCATCGGGCTATACGCGGAATCAAATCCTTTTTAACTAACGTAGTGCGTAGAGCCGCACAATCCGTAACTATCTTTACGGGTATGCCTGTAAGGTATATACGAAAACGTTTAAGGGATTCTACAACAGCTAGAGTCTCCAATTCATAGCTATGATAACATCTTTCTTCATTCGTCGTGACTCTACTAAAAAATGCGATTGGTTTTAAGTTACCATCTCTTTGGTGTTGGATGAGCACCCCGCCTAAGCCGAGTTTACTTGCATCGGTATGGAGTTCTGTTTTAGCATCCTTGTCGTATATGCCTAAAACTGGTCTTTCTATTAATCGTTGCTTTAGTGTACGAAATGCTTGTTCCTGCTGGGAATCCCAATGCCACTCTATATCCTTTTTAGTGAGTTCAGTTAAGGGTTGTGCTATTTGTGCAAAGTTTCTTATAAATTTTCTAAAATAAGACGTTAATCCAATAAACTGCCTGACTTCGTGTACATTTCGGGGCCGACGATATTCAGCTACGCAGTTAATTTTAGCTCGACCTGGCTGTATTGTACCGGCAGAGATTTCATGGCCCAAATAATTAGTGGTATTTTTAAGAAATGAACACTTTTTTAAATTCAATTTTAGATTAGCTTTTTCAAGTAACCCCAAGACTTGTTCCAAAAGTTCTAATCCCCTTTTTACTGAAATAGTTGGAATCATAACATCATCTAAATATAGAGCTATTTCGTGAGATACTTCCCCTAAAGTTACTTGGATTAGTCGCGCAAATACAGCTGGTGCATTGGATAATCCAAAAGGCATTTTTAAAAACTCATAAAGGCCTGATTGGGTGATAAACGCGGTTTTTCTTATGGACTCATCATCAATTGGTACTTGGTAGTATCCCTGAGCGAGGTCTAGTGTTGTAAAATAGGATTTACCCGATAGACGGGTAACTTGGTCTTCAATGTGAGGTAGGGGATATCGATCCTTAATAGTATTAGCATTCAACGCCCTATAATCGACACAAAGCCTATAATCCCCTCCTTTTTTCTTGACTAGGACAACAGGACTAGCATACTCCGATGTGGATTTTCTTATAATTCCTGCTTCCAAGAGTTCATTTATTTTGCCGTTCATTATTTCATTTTCCTTATGCGAAACTCTGTACGGTTTACGATACACAGGTTGGTTAGAAATAGTTTTTATGTGTAACTTAATTAAGTTAGTACATCCTAAATCTTTCGTATCTCTGGCAAATGAATGAGCATACCTATTCAATAATTGTAGCAATACATTTATTTCCCTATGATTTAACTCACCCACATCGATATCGGACAATTTAATTTCGGACTTATTGGTGACTTGGTCTATAATAAGAGTATTGGTTTCAAAGCTATTATTTTTTTGTTTTAAAATCTCTGCTCTAGCTACGAGTTTATTAGCAGGCCATGATATAGTTTCATTCCCAACATTTAGGACCTTTAAATATGACATACTGGAATTAATAATGGCTTCTGGAATATAATACGATAACCCACCTAGCTGAAAACATACTGCATGTGTTAGGAATGCGTGCTCGTTTTTGTCAGTATTACTGTCACAGTCGACACTTACGCTAATGTATGCATAGGTTCGGCTAGGTATAGTGACGTCTAGTTTTGTAAAGACTGGAAATTTTGAAACATATTCAATTATGTTAAAACTGTTTTTTGTTAAGACATCTCCTAAAGTGAAGGTTGGAACAAATTTTACGAGATTCGACGTAGTAACTAAGCTCACATTTTCTTGATTTATCATTGATTGTCCGATTATTAAGTCTATATCTGGTAGCTTGCAATCGGTTAACTCTACATCTCCTACCAAAAATAAATCATCAACATTTACAATAATTTGGCAAGTACCTAGCGAATATGAACAGGCTCCTCCAAAACCCTTCATTACAATAACTGAGGGCCGAGTTTTAAGTTTCATTTTTTGGGCTTGTGTAATAGTAAGTATGCTAAGCTTACTTCCAGTATCTATATAGGCCATCAATTTGATACCATTAACGATGACTCTTTTTTTATAAATATGTGGGTATTTATTAAGCGTAACGTGTAATACGTCACTAACCTTATAAGCCTGTTGTTGCATGGGACCAACTCCAGAGTTGGCTGCAGTTCCAGTAGCATACCAGCATGCAGCAGTTGCATGCCCTAGACGCTGACACACATCACAGCGCTGCTGGCAGTCCTTCCTTTCATGTCCTGGTCATCGACACACATAGCAGATCTTGGGAACAATTTGACGGCGACCCGAAGTAATTTGTGTATTTTTCCTCCAGATAGAATTGCGTGGTGTAAACGCGGACGTCTCCGAGCGTTTAAAGTTTTCAAGCGATGACAGATAACCGAAGTAAAGTTGTTCTGGCGTTTCACAATTGTAGGCTTTAGCATTAGCTCTCAATTCATGTGGTAAACCTCGAATAATGCAGGAGATTGCATGTTCACCATTAATGTTGCATTTTTTGAGAAGTGATAACTTTTCATGATAATATTTAGTCATAGTCTCATAGTCACTTTTTGACCTTGCCAGCATTGTTTCTAGTCTGTCTACGTAGTCGGTAGATCGAGGAAACGCAGTTTGAAGTGCTTCCTTCCACCCGTCCCAAGTAAGAGCATAATCGTCAAGGTCATCATACCACTCTCGAGCAGATCCAGCAAGGCGTAACTGCATTATAAATTGGCGATCCTTGCAATTCCATCCGTATATGTCACCCAACTGGTCACTTTTATGAAGCCATCCAGTAACGTTACTGGTTTGGTCGTCTGGGCAGAATTTGGGTATAACTTCCGCGTCTATCGGAGACACACGACGTCTTTTGGTGAGCATTGAAGTTCTTTTTTTTTGAAAAAAAATTTCGTCATCCTCATCTTCTTCTGATGTTGTAGTGTCGCCGTATCTTCGCTTACATTCTCCTAGTCCTCCAATATACGGTCCGGACATAGTTAGTACGATCCCACTTCTGAAGTTTTAAATAAGTAACTATGAAGTAAAACAGATTACCTTGTAGCACTTTTTATTCACCTTATAACGAATCACAATAATTATATTATACTTAATGTAGATGATAACAACTACTAGCAGAGCGACTTGCTTGCACACGACCGAAGTGAACTGAACTGAACTAAGATACCTCTGGCAATTTAATTTATAGTGTACAGCGCTGTTACAACTACCCACTAATCTTATTATTTTTACCTATGTTACTCTATGGTTTTATAATTTATTAAATCTGAAACATATCTATATTTAATAATCATTTATGTTTAATAATTTATTATATAGGTGTCGATGATTTCAAATCCACTCGTAACACTAATATAGAAAAAAATAACAAACAAGCCTTGGCAATAATTAGCAACACTTCGAAAAATCAACTTAAAAATAATTAACTATAATATTTGAAGGTAATATGGTCATCTGGTTAATATCGTCACTTTCTTATAACTCAAAAACTACAGCCTTGTTTCCATAGAACGCTCTGTGATACGATAGCTCTTGATCAGTCTATCAAATAATAAAGGATCAAAAAGGCGCTGCTTTATCGACGCCATTTTACAATAGATGTTATTGTAAATATTTTAGTCGATTTTAGTATTGTGTAGTGTAGTTAGTTTTTTTAAGTAGATTTTCGTAGTGTTCCTAATTATTTCCAAAGCATGTTTACAATTTTTTTCTTAATATATCAGTGTTTAGGCCCAAAAATGGTCATTTGAGACGGCATCCAATCGCCTTCGACTTAGCGAATCACCCGATGGTGTCGAGGTGAGGTAACGCCAACGGCGGGGGGGGAGTGTGCCAGCTCCGGTGATTCCTTCCGGCGCTAGGCTAAGAGAGACAGTAGATCGAAGGCAGTGGTGCGGGCCATTAGCGTATTTTGGTGACCGCTGCAGATGTTTCACGCGACTGGTTTTTTTGGGTTATGGTCTAGATTTTTAGAATTTGTGCGCGTTACTTCGCTACTGAATTGTGATTTCGTGAAAACCACCTCGGTTTAGTTTGTCTAAGGTGTTCGTGACAAGAGGCTTGTATTGTATTTGACGGATTAAAGTAATTTCGTTTTAAAATAATTGCGCCAATTATATAGTGATTGTGTGTTGAAGTGCATTTTGCAATATTTAACTTGCTTGTGTGACGTGGAATCTTGCGCGCGCGCCGAGTGGAGATACGGTCTGGAATTTGAACCGCGCATTCCATTTCAAGGGCGTCGCCCGGTTGATTGTTTTGGAAATCATTGTTTAACTGTGCCGTCGCGTTAAGAGCCTTTTGTGTGTTGACTCTGTAGCTAGTTTGCTCGTCAGCTAGGTTGATTTTGAATTCTTATTGCGGCATAGTATTTAATATCGTGCAAGGAGTTTAGTTGTTGTTTGTAACGCTGAACTTTGTGACTCGTGAAGAGATCGCGTTAGCTCCCTATTTGTAATTTGGGGTTAAATGAATCCGGAACTTTGAATGTGAAACTTTGAACTAACTGTTCGTTATTTTTGTCGGGTATCACGTGTTTGATTTTACGATGAACGTGGAATTAGTTCCGTTGAAGTTAGTTAAATGTACAATAAAGTCGATAGACTGAAATAGTGACATGAAGAAAGAAATTGTCCATTGGTGACGCCTGCTGGAGTGATGCAGCATTGTGGGGCAGCATGGGACCAGGCCGCTGCCGGTCACCTCAGCTGGGCCAGGTCACATAAATATACACACCACTAAAACACCACTCACACACATCTACACCTACCTACGACCTGACCGAGCCTTGGGGCGGTCTTAGCTTCAGATCCAGGTACGTACTATTTATTTACCGAGCCTTCTCCCTATTGTGTAGTATGATAGGTCAACTGTCCATATGGCCATTTGGCCCCTCGGCTGCCCGTCGCGGAGGCTACTATGGGCCCTAGCCAAGGCGACCTTTACAGGGGCAGCTGGAGGCCGTAACAATCAGTTATAGTATACGACATTGTTTTTGTCTCTGTTATTCTCCTAATTTTGGTTTTATAGGGCGATAAAGCTTAAGATGACCATATTACCCTCATGTACTTACTATAATATCAACTGTCAAAATGGTGTCGATAAAGCGGCGTCCTTTTGACCCTTTATTATCTGAATGACTGATGAAGAGCTATCGTATCACAAAGTCATCTATGCAAATTAGGCTGTAGTTTTTAAGTTATAAGAAAGTGATCACATTAACCGGATGACTATATTACCCTCACGTACTTTATTACTATTTTTCTGACCAGTAATTTAACCATCTTTACTTGAAGCATTTTTGCAATGGTTTCCTGAGGAAGAAGAAACCTATTAAATTATTTATATTTGTGTAATTTACTTTGTGGCGGCGCTGTTTAACGGCAAAGTGTTCAACCCGGTGAGTGAAGTACTTAGGAACTTTGATAGCGTGATTTAGGCTTCGATGTTTTTTCTTCGCTTGTGGCGCAATAACGCCGCAAGAACGCCGCCACAACTTCAAATTACTTAGACGATAACAAGAACGTTGTTATTTAATTTCTCGAATAATAAAAACAAAGAGAAGAACAAAATTAACAATGAGTAAATAGAAAAACGCCGTGCGGTGGCGGCGCAAGAAAATCCACCTCCGCATATCATCCCGTAGGTGCTGTAAGAGGCGACTAAGGGAAACCGAGACAGGAGTTAGGCTACAGCATCTTCCAAATAATAACTCAAAATAATTTAAAAAAAACTGCGATTGCCCACCTGCCTGAGAAGCAATCTGAGGGCCATGGTCAGCAGTTGTAGGTTGTAATGATGATAATGCAGTAGAACATAAGTCAGTCAAGCGATATAAAAGTAACAGTGAAACGCTTGTCTTCCTCATTAGCGGCTATTGTCACTGGCTGATCTTCTGGCGATTTGTGTGCGATAATAGGTGCGCTCGCGTCCGAGGTGCTTAGTGGCACACCCCTCTGGCTTCACTACATACTAGACTACTGCTGCTCACTAGCAGATGACTCCGTGGCTTTGAAAACTGCCTTTAGCAACAATCGCAGTAGACTCTCTTACTATTTAGGTCTGTAGTTATGAACAATGCACAAACAAGAAAAATAGGTGTATTTTTCAAGTTTTCGCAACACCACAAC